AAAAAAAAAAATAGCAAAGAGCAGAACCATGTGCATAGCATATCTTCCTTGGGTAAACGTCAAAAGAAGAGTATCTAACAGTCAAAAATGGATAGTTGACCTCAGGAAGGAAAAACGAGTAACTGGAAACCTGGTGGTCAGATGGGCAGCCCTGGTCATGCAGTTTGGTGTTCAGGGAGAAGTCAGGAGTAGCACTAGAAAGGCGGGACTCGTCAGTGGTGGAGAGTATGGAAAGCCCCCAGACTGGAAGAGTTCACGCAGGAGAAAAGAGGCTGAGTCCTGGGACATGCCCACACCGGACACTAGCGTGTGAGGCCTCCAAGGAGCAAGGAAACTGGTGTCAAGGAAGCCAAAGGAAGAAAGTGTTTTGAGAAGGAAGCCGTGGTCAATGGTGTCAGGTGCTTTTGTAGACCCAGGAGGGTGGGGACAGAGACATGACTGTTGGATTTAGCATCATGGAGATCCATGGTGACCTTGACAGGTCCACCTTTGTGACATGCTATAGGGATGGAAACGTTCAAAATAAGAAAGTGGGGAGCGGGTTTGCTCTGAAATGCTGGAGAGCAACAGGCGGTAGGGGGCAGATGGCAGAGTCCTGGACCCTCACGGGACACTGTCAAACTCACACATCCCCCCGCCCTGACCCATACGCAGAAGCACCCAGACCACCCCAGCACTGAGCCTCAGCAACGATTTTCAGGGGCCAGGACCCAATGAGTAAAAGATGGTGTCTGCCCTGCGGCTTTGCCCTATCCAGAAACCACATGGCTGAGACCTCCAGAGCTGGCTCTGCTCCTTATCATCTGTATGATCCTGGGCTAGTCACCTAACTTCTCTGTACCTCGGTTTTCTCAATCTTAAAATCAGGAAGGATCATGCCTTCCTCATCCAGGGCTCTGAGGATGAAATAGTCTTCAGGCCATGCCTGGCGCAAAGACGTCTCTGAGTATCCAACGCAGAGTTAGTTCTCTATCAAAATGAGTAGTAGGTAGGGTGATCATGTGACTGATCTTCCCAGGTTTGGGGGCACTTTTGAGAGTAAGGGGGTGATGTTAATTACACTGGGGCCACAGGTGTGAACCGGAACAGTCCTGGAAAAATGCCATGTATAGTCACCCTTGTGTTAGCAATAACAGTTCCATGGAGACAGTGAGGGCTCAGGCCCTCGTGTGACTAAGATCCCAGGACTCCCAGGGTGGCCAGAAACGCTGGGGTTTCTCCAAGGAGGCTGGGAAGGCTCCCTATCATAGCACACTAATAACCACGACAAAGTGTCCTTGTCCCCAGAGCCCAGCCCCCTGCCTCCCAGCTGCAGGCCCGCCTCTTTCGGCAGAGTGTCTAGGGCAAGGGATCTCTCTGCCCCCAACACCCCCACCCCTACCCCCACAGGATCTGCCCCTGGGCATAACTCAGGCAACAACCTCTCCCTACCCGCCCTCACCCCTAGACAAAGGACCACCTCATCTCCTTTCCAGGCACCGGCTTCGCCGTGCCCCTTCCCTTGTGGACGCAGCGTCTGCGCCCCACCTGGTTCTCCAAAGGGCGCGTGCTTCCTTGGAGGACACAGAGCCTGAGCCGGGGCCGCCGTGGAGGGCCGTCGTGCCGGGAGGGCAGATCCCTACAGTGCCCCCCCTCCCC